AAGAATTGGGTCAAGTCTGTCAGAAGAAAATTCCAGGCGAGAGGACCTTTAGTTCCCTCCAATGAGCACCCAGAGACTGGGCTAGCATCCATCGTTTCTACCACAGGCAATGCTTGCTTGCTTTTCTTCCTTTATTACTTTTCTTTCTCTAACTCGTCCATTTAAAAAGTCTTCTTGCCCATCCGGCTCAGGGGTTGAGCATCGACCCATGCACCAAAAGGTCACCGGTTCAATTCCCGGTCAGGGCACATGCCCAGGATGTGGGCCTGATCCCCAGTGGGGGGCGTGCAGGAGGCGGCCAGTCAATGTTCTCTCATCGATGTTTCTGTCTCTCTCTCTCTCCCTCTCCCTTCCTCTCTCTCTAAAAATAATCAATAGAGGGGAAAAATTTTTTTTTTCTTTTAAATCTTCTTGCCCTGACCAGTGTGGCCCAGTTGGTTGGGCACCATCTTGTGCACCAAAAGGTCGCCAGTTTGATTTCCAGTCTTGACACACACCTGGTTTGCAGGCTTGATCCCCAGTAGGGGATGTGCAGGAGGCGGCCAAGCAATGTTTCTCTCCCTCTCTCTCTAAAAATCAACTTTAAAACATCTTTTTAAAAAGTCTTATTTTATTATCCAATTTTTCATTTCATATTTTCCCCAACTTTCACTTATTTCTGGAACAGTTAAAGAAACGGGTCCTGTAAGTAGTGACTGTCAACTGGTATGCCGCAGGAATCTAAGACATGTGACACCTGACTGTCTAGTCAGGAGCACTGACCTCTTTTCCCTTCGACGGTCAGACAGAAAAATGACAACAGCCAACACAACGTCCAGAGTGAATGAATCAAAATTATACTTTTTTTTTTTTGTCAGATTGGCAAAAAAGAGTATATCTTTTGGTATGCCACAGAATTTTAGTAATTAGTGTGTGTGTGCCATGAGATGACAAAGGTTGAAAATCACTTCTCTAGGTCCCAGTGACAGTGAAAAGAACAGACTCCAGCTTCAGACAAAGGATTGGAAGCCAGTTGCTTATTTTAGCGCCTCTGCAGATAAAGCAAAGGCTGACCTAAGACCCCCGGAACTAAACTTGGCCACATTTGCTAAAATGTTTTCGTGACAGCTAGTTTTCTGAGCTCTAAAATGGGTAGGACAATTTTTATTAATTTAAATATAACAGAATTCATGAAAACACACTGATATAAGGGGTGGGGGAAACATATCCTGAGCTTCCTAATAAAATGTTGAACATTTCTATTGGCCACATTTTTTGACATTATGGAAACCAGCTTAAGCTAATAAAAGTGTTTGCCATCCATTTCACAGATCACTAACTGGAACTGTGAGAGACCGTGACAAAAAGCCCTTTTGGAAATAAGTAAGAATGAGTGATGAGTATCAATCAGTCTCTTAAAGATTTAAACATATTCCTTAGAGCAGGGTCCCCAGGACTATCGCTCTCAAAACATTATTCAGCTCAATAACTGTTCCAACAACCTCCGCAGCAAAAATACACAACAACACAGCATCCCTCTCCCGCCCGATCCAAGTGGGTCGCCGCTGCCTTCCCTCTGCTCAGCCTTTCTGCGGAGGTTTGCCAAGCGTGCTGGGTCGCCGCATATCTTAGTGCCAGAAGTGGTTATGGCCAGAGGAGGTCGGAGCACATGGCTACTGAGCAGGGATGGGATGTCCTTGGGAAAGGTAGGGCGGAGATGAGGTCGCCTGCGCCTCTGGGGAGATTATCCGTGTTCCTGGATACGTACTGCTTATTGGTACCCGTGCTCTCCTGTGGTCTTTTTTCATCTTCTAAATTAAGAGCAGTGTTCACACCTTAAAGGTGATTTGCAAATTTTTTTTAATAAAAATGATCCAGTCATCCTATAAACAGCAGACCTGCCATCTTCTCTAAATAGAACTGGCAAGCATTTCATCACCTTAAAATATCACCTCCCTTGACTTCCCACCAGCTTTTCACCAATGCCTCCCTCTCCTTTCCAGAGTTCCTTAAAGCAACACCCTCGGATGCCCTGGAGGCCTCAGGGACCCGGGCTCCTGCTAAGGGGCCTGGAAGCAGCCAGCCTGCGTCGACCCACAGGGCATACTGTTTTCCACGTGGCGCCATGAGTACTACAGATTGTCTTAGGTTTCTTTTATTCTCCATGGCTTACAGAATAAGAACACTGGAACATTTGGTAATGGGATTAAAATGGCAAAATGTGAACCACAGGTGAAGTCTTAAGCTTCAGGACTTACCTAGATGATAATATTTTCCTGAGCACAAGACAAGCAAGGACTCGCTGACTTACAAAGGGGGACATGGGCTTTCTTGCTGAACAAGCTTCAAAACAGAGGGGAGGAAATAAAATAATGGAATATTCTGATGCTTGAATAAAATCCTGAGTAGCTTTATTTTTTCAGACACGGCATAATCCCTGTGTGCAGAGCCCTCGACAGCAACTTTGAGCGATTCTCAAAAGAACAGATTCTTCCACCGCCTCGCCATCTGCCAGGGCAGTCCATGCGGCTCCGAGCCACGGACAGCCACTGACTTCCATGGGTGTTTCATCGTACTGCTGAGGGGCTTGGAAAAGGCTCACAGGTTAGAAATCCCAGTCGCCCTGTGTGTGGACAGCCATCTTCCTTGTGGTGGAACAATCCACACTGCTAGCCATACATACCTGCAGCAGCCACTGAGGGTGGCCTACGACTCCCCATCTCCTTCTCCCATAGTAAGACAACCTCGATTCTTAGCCAGGCACATCCCGCCTGGAATAAAGATTTTATCTCCTAGGCTCCCTTGTAGGATGTGGCCACATGACTGAGTTCTGGCCAGTACTATGTAACAGAAGTCTGTGGCATTTCTGCAAAGAATCTTTAAAGGTGAGGGACCCCCTTCTGCACCTGGAATATGGATCTACAGCTGGAACTCCAGCAGCCATCTTGGACGATGAAGTGACCAACCTGTGGATAGAAGCCAAATGCTGACCATGGCAGGAAAATCTGACCTGGGCCCCTGACATGCCTGGAGAGCCACTGTGCCACCCTCATCCACCTACCCCAGACCTGTCACATGAGGCAGACCTAACAGTCCATCTTGTTGAGTCTTATACTCAGAGTTTAGCTGCTTGGTTTATGGCAACTGAATAAAATACAGGGTGGGGCAAAAGTAGGCCTACAGATATGAATATGTGAGATACAGGGTTTATTCTTGAATTACCATTTATTAATCACTGCATTCTTTTCCATACAAATAACCGTCAACCTCCTTTTGCACCACCCCGCATTAACTGATCTGCTGATCATACAGTCCGAGTCCGAGTCCATATGTCTGCTCTGGACAAAAATTTAACTTCCCTCCTCTGCGGAAACTCCTCCACTCATCTAATGATTACATGTTTGAACAGAACCCCTGAGAAAATGCCAGGCTAGCATTTTCCCCACAAAAGCAAAGGCTTGAGGTCAGCAATGCCTTTGCATGTGATGAGCAGTCCCACATCCTGCCACTCCAAGTCTACCTGCTCGACTCCAGGTCTGTCTGTCACATGGAACCTCACTCAAGTAGCACACTGGTCCATGATGTGGCCCACTGAGTGGACATCCCCAGCGTCAGCACTTGTGCCCCACACCAAAGGGGGCCCTGCGGAACAGCCATCGAACTAATGCTCACAACAACTAAGCTCTTTTGTTTCATTATTGCAATAAATAATACGATGCAAGAACTATAATAGTGTCCTGGAAGATGCCCTCTAATTGTACAAGTTCCCATAGTGCAACACTGGGATCCTAAATACAAAACAATGTGAATAACAGTGGTAATGACAGACACCACTATCGCTGAATGGCATGTGGCTGCTGCTGTGCCATTTGGCTCGCGCTCTGCCTGACCAGATTCTCCGCAATTCAAATTACTCTTATCCCTATTTTACAGAGGAGGAAACTGAGGCTCTACGGTGTGAAATAACTTGGCTCAGACCAAGTGCCCAGTGCATGGCAGTGATTATCACTGAATCCAGAATAGTCTATACAAATATTTTAGCTGCATAATCCTATCACTCAAAATGTTACATGAAATAATCTTAAGGAAACCCCAATTTTTTCACAGCAGAACTACAATAAAACCATCTGATCCTATATCCATTTTATACAAACATGAGCATTTCTTAAAACAAAGGAAAAGAAAACACACACACACAAGAAACTAATAGAATTGGTCCACAAATGGTAAATAATGCTAGAATACAAATGAAGCAAATCACGAAAGTGTTTTTTCTGAATTCCACCTTTTGTTCACAGTTTCAATCTCAGGGTGACTGATGTGTTTCCATATCCAGGGTCATTGTGCCCCTTTTAATCCATAAACATCAAAACAAAAAAGAAACCCCTATAATGGCATGGTCTTGTGTAATCACATCTCTTTACACCCTTCCTTTGGAAACAGCTCTGAATTATTTCCCACCTCTTTGTTGAGCTTCCACTTTAATCAAAGGAGAGGGCCCTGAAAGAAACCAGGCTCTTAAAGCATTCGCTGAATACGTCAGGCAATTTCTCCAGGATCTGAACAATAAATGAGTTAAAACAAATGGGGGGAGGGGATCGATCTTTCTATTAAAAATAAGGTATGTGCATGGATGTATATATGTGTGTGTATGTGTTTGGGGGGTTCTATTCAATTTAAAAATACATATGCATTAAAAACATGGTAATGCTATTAAACGTTTATCATTAGAATAATTATTTTCATGGGCCGCTGAAAGCTAAAGAATTAAAATACGCCCAAGAGAAAACGTCAAACAGAAGGCTAGAGCTCCCTCTTTCTTTTTCTTTAAGAAATTCACCCACATCTCCGCCTAGGAGAGCAAACCACGGAGCAGAGCCGAGCAGCACCAGGGCTCCTGCCGAGTGTTCCGCAGCCGCTGTACACAGGCTCCAAGCCCTGGAGCACATTTACTGGTAGTTCATTATTCATAAGAGTTAAGTAGTAGGGGAAAAGGCACTTTTAAAAGTAGCAATACTCACAAAGCCATTTCAAACTGCTCCAGCCATTTTTTCTTTAAATCTTTTGTTTTGCAATAAAATTCTAACCCATTGTGTCCTTGGGTATGGATGAGGTAGAAGCCATAAGACCACTGTTAAAATTAATATTCCTCAGGTTAATATGGATCATTCATTTATGACCCCACATTCCCAAATTCCCTAAAACACCACGTAATCATTCAGAAACCTCTCGTAACATAATCTGTGACCAACCAAGACTACTGTAGTCAACTTCATATCTACAACCATTTCTGTGCCAAATGTATTTTACTGTCTTGACCATTAGCCTTAGAGATGAACGTATCAGCTGTGATACTGCCCAATTACTTCCCCAATCAATTTCCAGAAACAAAAACACCTGAATCAATATGCTACCCTCCCATGCACGTGTTCCTTGAATGTTCAAAGTTATGAGTAAATCACAGTTATTAATTTCTGAGAATTCACCTTTTTATTTTCTTTATCAGTTGTAGGATTGTTGGCTATTTTGTACTGCTGAAGATCTATTATTTCCTTCATTTCATAGTTATCACCTTTTCTTTTGCATACAATCACTGCCAAGTCGAATAAGAAGATGTGCCTGAAAGAGAAAGGGGGAGAGAGATTTAAAATGGTTCGGAAGCATGTGTTCTCTTGCAAATTGAATTAAACCGACCAAACATTTTCCCTTTGAGTAAAGACAATGGCAGGGCTGCTCTTTGAAAAGAAGGAAATGTGAGCATCTACCTTTGTCCTACCCTTAGGTAAATAAATGGCCTCACTGTACCTCAGTTTCCTTATTTAAAAAACAAAACAAAACAAAAAAACAGGCAAAGTTTTAATAAGAACAATAGGTACACTCAACGTAGGTATGAGAAACAATGGAGATTAGCCATAAAGTATTGCCCTTTACAATTACTTTTTCTTTTAAGTTTAAAAGCTAAACATTCATAGAATAATATTAATGAAAACAATGACAGTTCACTTTTGCTAATGTTATTAGGAGTCAGCCAGAATGCCTCTCACAAAGATGACTCACTTAATGTAAATCCCCAGGACCATGTGCAGACGTAGATATTATCATTTGACTGCAGAGGACACTGAGGCTTGGGGGTGCATATGCTCCAGGTCACACTGCTGGTAAGGTGCCAGCAGGTTCACACCTGGTCTACTGTGGGCCCCGTGCTTTTACCCTCCAGGCTGCTCCTCACGATTTAAAGGCCCACCTGAAACACCCTGAGTGCTACACCAGCAAAACATACACTAGAAAAAATCATGGTTAAATTTACATGTTGCTATTTCTCTTCTTTCTTATTAAAAACAATGTAATTGGGGAGAAAAACTTTATCATCCCATCATTCAATACCAATTCTCATACCTTGTTGAAAACTCTGTGATTTACATGCACACATTTTTAAAACAATGATCATGATAATGCTACATTCATGTAGCTTTAATACTTGTATCACTTTCAAAGCCTATTTTCCTGGAGATACTAAAAGGAGGTGTGTCTCCTGGAAGCTACCTGTAGTCTGGGTTTCTAGGTGGAAGCAAGAGCTGATGCTGCCCCCTGCTGGCTGACTTTCTCATCTCCAAAGGGTCCAGAAAACTGCCATTTCAACCAAATGATAATCACATATGCGTAATTAGGGCAGCCGACCAAGCTTACTAATCTTCAAGGATTCCACCTACAAATTTCCCTCAAGAAAGTCTCACTCACTCAATGATCCTCACTTAGATTTCTTCCTTAGGACATTTTGTATTATTTTTAGTTATTTTAAAATGTGATGTGTAGCAAAAAGAAAAAAAGAAACAATTGTGTTTTTAATGGTAGTTATCTATTCTATTGTTCCTTTCTCGCCCCTCTCATTTTAATGTGCACTTTTTTGTACCCTAGTTGACATTCTCTATTTGCCATTTCTTACTTAAGACCTGAGATGAATCAATACTAGAACAGGGGGTGGGGGTGCCTAACACACCTACCTGAGAATCTTTTAGAAAACCATCAGCTGATTTTGTCCCCTTGTTTTCTTCCTTTGTTTCCCTCCTCTGTCCTGGAGAAATTGTTTGTAAGCCCTCTCAGTCTCCTGATAGGAATTACTTATTTTGAAAACACCTACTGCTCCTGTTCCTCACCTTTCTTGTTTCGTATGCTTGTCCAAAGTGGTTATTCGAATTTCACCATCTCCCTGAGGCCGTCCAAAGAGCAAAACTGGTTGGTTCTAAAATGTAAAATTTATATGTCTCAGTTTTTCATAAGCACATAAGATCAGAAATAAATATCAGTGAGGATATTTTTTAAGAATAATTACTCCATTATATTACAAATGTTATTAATTTTAGCACACTTACTCTAAAATGCTGAGATCTATATGATACATTGTCAAAAACAGTCTGTGTTTGGTCACCCAGGAGGTACACGGAGGACATTAATTTTACTTATAACCCTAATGAGGAAATCAGCTACCAAAAGAGAGAATTAATTGTAAGAATTCAAATCACACAGAAATTATAGCAACTAATATTTACTGAGCACCCACTGTGTGCCAGCCACTGAAACGGGGAAAGGACACAGCCCTGCCCCCCTGGAGCACCCCCACAGCGGGGACACAGACACACAGCACGTCACCGCAAGGTGGGACTGCCGTGGGAAGGCTGCAGGACGCACGCACAGCTGGGGGACCTGCTTTGGTTTAGAAAGTCAAGGATGGTGTCCCTGATCTGAAATTTCAGGAATGAAAAGTTCTGACTTAATGATGCAAAATAATGAGCCATTTAGGTTTCTTCCATATTTAGGCTATTATAAAATAATGCTGCAATGGACCTAGAGGGTGTTAAGCTAAGTGAAATAAGTCAGACAGAGGAGAGACAAATACATATGATTTAACTTATATGTGGAATCTAAGAAACAAAATAAACAAACATACAAAACAGAAACACATAAAAACAGAGAACAAACTGATGGTTGCCAGATAGGAAGAGGTTGAGATGGGTGAAAAAGGGGAAGGAATCAAATTGCCAGTTATAGAAACAGTCACAGAGATGTACAGAATAGGGACTATAGTCAATAATATTGTAATAACTATGGTATTAGATGGGCACTAGACTTATCAGGGTGATCACTTCATAAGTTATATAAATATCTAACCACTATGTTTACTAGGTTGTATAGCTGAAACTAATATAATATTGCCTGTCACCTGTAATTTTAATATTTTTAAATAAAAATATAATAATAAGCCATTTCCCCAGTGACAGACAATAAAAATAATTTTAAGTATTTATGAGCACCCACTATACAAAGTGCTAAGGGAAAAAACTGACTAAAAATTATCACTAACATTTACGAGATTACATTTAATAAAGGAGACAGATATGTAGTTAATTAGCAGTACTATAAGAAAGTATAAAAATAAATGTTCCCTATCAAAATCCCAATGTGTTTTGCAGAAATAGAAAACTCCACCCTAAAATTCACATGGAATCTCAAGGAACCCTTAACAGGTAAAACAGTCTTTAAAAATAGCCCTGGCCGGTTTGGCTCAGCGGTTAGAGCGTCGGCCTGCGGTCCAGAGAGACCCGGGTTCAGTTCCCGCTAAGGGCACGTACTTCGGTTGTACTTTGTCCCCGGCCCTGGTTGGTCGTGCGGGTGGCAACCACTCGATGTGTCCCTTCACATCGATGATTCTCTCTCTCTCTCTCTTCCTCTCTTTCCCTCCCACTCTATCTGTACAAAAAATGGAAAAATATCCTCGGGTGAGGATAAAAAAAAAAAATAAATAAACAAAGTTGGGCTCTCTTACTTCCTGATTCTTATTATAAAGCTATCATAATCAAAACTGTGTAGCACTGACATGAAGACAGACTTCTAGACCAATAGCACAGAATGAAACATTCAGAAGTAAGTCCCCCTATATATGGCCAAATGACTTTGACAAGGGTACCAAGACCATTCAGTGGGGATAGGGCAGCCGGTTCAACAAACCGCACTGGTGAAACTGAATATGTAAAGGAAAAGGAATGAAATTGGAACCTTACTTACACTGTAAACAAAAATTAACTAAAAATGGATAAAAGCTAAAAATATAAAATGCTGAGAAGAGAATAGGAAGAAAGGTTTATTACACTGTATTTGACAACATTCGGTTTGTTGGATATGACATAAAAACACAGGCAAAAACAAGAAAAGACTGATACATTGGACTTCATGAAAATTAAAATTTTTGTACACCAAAAGACACTAACAACAATGTGAAAAGGTAACCCATAGAATGGGAGAAAATACTTGCAAACAAAGTGTGATAAGGATTGATATTCTTGTCAATATATAGAAGGATATATGTATAAAGAACTCTTACAACTCAACAACAACAAAACAAACCACCTTGATTCAAAAACAGGTAAAGGACTTAAACAGACACTTTTCCAAGGAAGATATACAAATCGCCAATAAGCACATGATAAGATGTTCAGTATCACTAATTATTAGGGAAATGCAAAATCAAAACCACAATGAGACACCACTTCACACCCATTTGGATGGATATTATCCGAAGAAAACGTGAGAGGGGACACGAACTCCTGTCATCGCTGACGGGTATATAAACTGGTGCAGCCCTTGTGGAAAACAGTATGGCTGTTCCTCAAAAACACTAAACATAGAATTACTGTGCAGTCCAGCAGTCCCACTTCTGGATGTATAGCCAAGAGAATGAAAGCAAAGTCTCAAACAGATATTGGTCCACCCCTGTTCACAGCAGCATTATTCACAACAGCCAAGTGTCCACAGACAGATGAATGAACAAAAATGTGAGGTATATACAATCAATGTTACATTATTCAACCTTGAAAAGGAAATTCCTTTTAAAAAAAGCAAAGGAGGAATTTCTGACACCTGCTACAACAATGATGAACAATGAAGACATTATGCTACATGGAATAAGGCAGTCCCAAGAGGACACATATGACATGTGGGGTCCTCCCGCCCACCTGTCCCTCTTCAGAGCCCACCATTCTTCCTTTCTCTCCCAATCTCCAGCCACTCTTGCCTTTTAGCTTCTTGACCTTCTTCAGCTCTTGCTTATCTCTGGCATTTCACTTCCTATTGATACCATGTAATCAGCTAGTTATCATAACAGGAAAGGAGCAACGGGAAGGCCAGGCATTAAAGGCATATCATCTGGGCAGCTTCGCCAGGAAGCTGCAACTTCACACTCCCTGGGGAACCACCAGCCCATTCCCTGCAGACCACTGGGGGAAGGAGTCCAACAAAGGAGAGACAGATGCATGTCCAGTGAAGTTGGGGTAACACAGGGAAGGCACGTGCCTGTCAATCTAACCTGGAAACAAAGATAATTGGCTAGGAGGGGGCAGGGCCCTGCAAGCCCATGAAAATTTGGGGATGCCCTAAACAGAGGAGTTCAGTCTCTTGTTGCTCGAGGCTCTCTTGCATGTGTCTGTATGGCCTAAGGCCATGCGAACCCACAAGCAATGGTCTGATGGACTGCGGGAAGCAAAGCTAAACTAGCCTGATTACGGACTGAACCCCGCTCCAATATGAAAAGAAAACTTTGGATACTGGTTCTGATTTTAGCTCTGCTGAAGCCTCAGCTATATTTCCTCTACAACTAGACTGAGGGAAATAGGAGCCTGCAAACTCAAAGGTTTGATTCCACATAAATAAAGCATTCTACCACATCTCACCTTCCTGGGCAAATCTCAGAAAATTATTTTTCCGGGGCCACTGCAAGAATTCCACTCTTACGAGCAACAGGGGGACGAGGACCTCTCCCCACCAGTAACACTACAGCCTCTGCCTAGAATCCGTTCCCCCAGATCCCTGTGCTGCTGGCTTCTTATGCTTCAGGTTCGAGGCAAAGGGCTCAGGAGGACTTTTTCTAACTGTTGTATCTAAACTAGGACACCTCTCATTACCCTCTGTTGCATCCCTGTTCACAGCACTATCTCAAAATAGCACTTTTTAACTCTTTTTCACTGTCTCCTCCACCAGGAGACCATGGTGTTCAGAGTTCCAGCCCCAGCCCCAGCCTCAACCCAAATGCCTGGCACCCGGCAGTCACCCAGACTATACATAAAATGAGTAAAGTAACAGGAATCAGCCATGAGTATGTCCAGGGGTGAGGAAGGGGAAAGGAAACATAGACTCCATGTCTAGAATGTGGCTGCTGGGGAAGAAGCCATGTGCTTAAGGAGAGAGGACAACTCATGGCTGAAAGTCCCTGGACAGTGACTTGTCACAGGTGCCACGAGACATCCACGTGGATGCTGCCAAACAGAAATCAGGAAAAAACTAGAATTGGAAACTTGAAGGTAAACTGTTTTTTCTTCGAAAACAACTCTTGGAGTGTCCCCCGATTTGTGGGTTAGGGAAGCTGGACGGGATGATAATTACATACCAGATTTTCTATAGACAGCTGAAACTGTTTAATTTCACGCAGGGTCTCATTATCTCTCTTCACTTCGTTCACATATAGTGCCAAGTCCTAAAGAATAAAGAGACGGAGACAAAAAAGAAGGCACAATAAGATCGGAGAAGAGATGAGGATTGTTTGAAAGAAAACACATCATTAATTTCAAGAGCAGCAAAAGCAGAGCACAGCTTTTCTACGGTAATCACATGAACGCCGATCGATCGATCACAGCTGCTCATCAAGAGCAGTGAAGAGCGCCTGGGGGAGCAGGAAGACTGCAGGGTTGTCCCCACGCCCTGGGGACAGGAGGGTAGGAGCAGACCAAACATGCCCCCATGCTGGTCAGGAGAATGCAAATTCCAAATACGTGAATAACCAACCTTGAGAGAATTACATTTGACCCCGACCGACCGACCGAATCAGGGCCCTGCTGAAAGCTCAGCAAGGGAGGGAAAAGTCACTGAAAGTTAGACAAGGAATTGGGCAGGACTGTGTTCTGCAGTCAGTTAGTGTCTTCATTCCTGAGAGCATTCAGTCAAGGAAGCCAGTTCCCTTTTATTTATTTTTTTAAATATGTTTTTATTGATTTTTAGAGAGAGACAGACAGAAACATCAATGTGAGTGAGAAACATCGATTGGCGCCCCACCCCCCCCCAACAAGCTGGAAACCCGGGCATGTGCCCTGACCGGGAATTGAACCAGGACGTCGCAGTGCGTGGGACGACGCTGTATCCCCTGAGCCACACTGGCCTGGGCAGGCCAGTTCCCTTTTAAACAGTTAACAATTAACAATAAAGGAGAAGGAAAGGAGATGAGAGAACTCAGAGTTAAAGTGAGCCATGAGCCCCGGCCATGCTTCTCCCTGCGCTGTCGCCACCTACTATAAAATGCCTGTTCTCGTTTTTGAAGAAACGGTGGCTCATCTTTCTGCACTGTCCCTAGCTATTGCTTTTGTGTGTGCTCTAGATTCTCCTATCTTCTGGGTTCCCCCCACCCCAGGTCTCTTCAGTTCATCTGAAACAGTAGGAATAGAACAGCAGTCTTGAACTTTGCTCTATATGAAAGTCTGGCTTTCCATGGGATGTCTCTATAAATGATTTCTTTAAAAATTAGACCCTTGGGCCCTGGCCGGTTTGGTTCAGCGGTTAGAGCATCGGCCTTCGGTCCTGAGAGACCCGGGTTCGGTTCCCCCTAGGGGCGCGTACCTCAGTTGCAGTTTGTCCCCGGCCCTGGTCGGTTGTGTGGGTGGCAGCCACTCGATGTGTTCCTTTCACGTCGATGTTTCTCTCTCTCTCTCTCTCTCTCTCTCTCTCTCTCTCTCTCTTTCTCTCTCTCCCTCCCACTCTACCTGAACACAAAAAAATGGAAAAATGTCCTCGAATGAGGATAAAAAAAAAAAAAAAAATTAGACCCTTGGTATTATTTTTTTTCATAATAATAAATAATGTGTGATGTTTCCTGACAGGATACCAGAGTCTGCGAAACAGCTGATCTAACTCAAAACCGGCACAGGGTCACAGAGGGGTAATTATCACTCTTCTCAGCAGCGTCACGTTAGATTTTTGTTGAGGACACATTTGCTTATGTTTTAAATTAGGGACAAGTATTCCTTTCAAAGTTCAAGTCCAGCATAACATGAAAATTGGGTTTTATAGCTTCCCCATATGTTCAGAAAGTCTACCTCTATCTACTGGTAGTTCTCAACTTTCAGACTGACCTGAAAATAGAAACCCAAACTGAAACTCCATGTGCTGCCGCACAGCACCCACAAAGGTAAACCTGGCAGACAGCTGCACCTGAGAAAACAGGTCACACCTGTGTTCTGAGGTCACCTGCCAACCTGATGCTTATACAAGCCAACAGTTTTCTCTTAGTGACCACACAGAAAATGTCAAAGAAAACCATATGAAATCATTCCTGGTGGTCACAGAAGTCATCATACATCCATAAATTTAAAAAGTTATTTTAATACACCTCTTGGTTTTATGTGCTTTGGTCTAAAAATTAAATTCATCAAGTATATCTATTTCAGTTAAAAATATCCAGCTCTCCCCACCAAAAACAAAACTATACAAATACTTATACATATTATAATATGTGTATATATTAGCATATCATGCATATATATTAGCAGTTTGTATTCTATTGTTTCCAGGCAAGAATAAAAACGCAAACTAGGTCATAATGCGTTGCTTTACCTTCATTGCATCAAGAGCCAGTTTCAGATTCGCCTTCTCTGTGGGGTCAGTGGTATGCTTGACCAGTTCCTATTTGGAAGACACAGTTTAGTACTATTTTCATCAAATTAACACTCAAACATAAGAAAGGAAACAAAAATAAATCCTTTTATGTAGATTTGGTACAGCACAAATGGTATGGAGTTTCCTCAAAAAGTTACAACAGAACTGCCTTATGACTCAGCAGTTTCTCTTCTGGGGATATATCTGAAGAAACCCAAAATGCTAATTTGAAAAATGTAGGCACCCCTATGTTCAATGCAGCATTATTTACAATAGCCAAGATAGGGAAGCAACCTAAGTGTCCATCAATAGATGAGTGAATAAAAAAGCTATGGTACATATATACAACGGAATACTATTCAACCATAAACAAGAATGAAATCTTATCACTTGGAACAGCATGGTTGGACCTAGAGGGTATTATTCTAAGTGAAATAAGCCAGACAGAAAAAGACAAATACCATTTGATTTCACTTACATGTGGAGTCTAAAGAACACTATACACAAACAAAATAGAAACACACTCATAGATATAGAGAACATACTGATGGTTGCCAGAGGGGAAGGGGTTAAGAGGCTGGATGAAAAACATGAAGGGATTAGGAAATACAAATTGGTAGTCACAAACAGTACTAGGGATGTAAAGTCCTACATAGGGAATATGGTCAATACTATTGTAATAACTCTGTACAGTGCCAGATGGGTACTTGAAATACCGAGGGGACCACTTTGTAAAGTATATGATTGTCTAACCACTATGATATACACCTGAAACTAATACAAAATCATACTGATTATAAACTGTAATCAAAAAATAAAATTAAATAAGTAAGTCCTTTTTGTCATTATTCACACCATAGATGTGTGATGTCACCAGGCTCTATTTCCATCAAAAATTCCAACTGTAAGAAGACCCACTAGATCCAAACAAACGTGAGACAAGGGCTGGGAACATTTTTCTTCCAAAGACAGACCTGAATTCTGTCCTGGCCACAACACTGACACTCTTCCCAAATGTAAGGCAAACACCCCTCATTATCAGTTCAACAGATACTTGCTACTCATGGTCACACTCGACTTCTCTACAGGCCTGATTCTGATGACCGCACCTCTCCTTTGGCTTCAGGGCCACAAAGACCTTCTGTTTGTGGCTGTTGTTGCTGTTTGTTGGTCCATCTTCTATTTTCCCCTGTTCATCAGTTTTTCCTTCTTTCTTCTTCATCTGCACCTTAGTCATTGTTCCCTAGACTTTCACCTCAGTCTTCTGTGATTCTGACTTTATCATACTCTACAAATTTCATCACAACCATGGCCAACGCCGGCTATCACCTAATGAGACAATCACTCTCAAATGAATGGGCTCAACTCAGAACACACACCAAGTCCCAGACTCATATATCGGACTAAATAGTTCTCCCTGGGTACCTCACAAGCCCCGTAAAACCGACACCTGCAGACTTAATGCATCTTCACCCACAACCTACTCTTGTAGCTGTTTATGTTTTATTTAATGACGGCACCTCCAGCAGTCTAATCACGTAAGCCAAAACCTGAAAGGTCACCCAGATGCCTCGTGGTGACATTCACTTTGAGCCTTCCCCTTGAAACCATCCTCACCACCACTACCTTGGTTCAGGTCCTTCTCCTTCTCAAATAGGTTTCTGATTGATCTGACTGCAGAATCCCCTGCTACAATCTATCCACTCTGCCGACTTCAGGGTCAGGCTTCTAGAATGTACAGCAGATCCTGTCTCTACCCTATTTAGACTTCTGTGATGCCAACAAAAGCTTCATGCCATCATCCATCCCCCTTGATCCATACCCCTCATGATCTACGTTCTGCAAACCTCTCCCAACTTTTCTCTCTACATAGCCATTTCAAACCATAAAGCATTCCAAAAAACAACTTCCCCACTAAAGTGAAGAAGTAGGAAATGTTCAAATTCACACTACACATACTCAACAAATTTCTAAACATTAGACAAATAAAGCCTACTCTACACTATTTCAAGATGGAAACACCTTTCTAGAATTTTCATCTAGGTGTGGTACCCCACATAAAAATGTTTCCCATTTTAAAAAATCATGGGAAAGAAGGTATTCTTTCTGTGAAAATTCGCCTGTGCGAATAACAGCAGGGTGGATTATTTCCTCTGACCCCTCACCTGCCGTGTAGCACCAGGGTGTCTAAGGCCCGGCTCTGCCGATGGGTGAAACCAGCCATCATGGAGTTCAAGCTACGCCACTATCTCCTCCTCCCTTTTAAAGGCATGCGGTTCGTTCTACCCAGCCTCACTGTTTTCACATTTTCTGCTCATAAGAACGGTTCTAGTGTTTCACAGTGTTAAACTTATTGGAAAATAATTTTTAAAACTGCTTGACTTTTTTACTTTTCTCTCTCCTCCCCTCCTGCCAGCCCATATGTAGGCATGACATTAGCCTTCGAGGTAACATACAGGTCAGATGCATTACAACCTCAGAGATTCTGTGTTTCAAAAAATGCCTGATCCGTGTAAATCATGGAGGCCTGAGAGTCCATATCATGCTGCTCATCATCATTTCGTCTCTTGCTTTACTGGAAAGACGCTGCTAATGTGCAATAACTGTACTATTCCTTTCTAAATCTGCTAACTTAGCTGTCATTAATATTGCTTTCACCTTCCTTTGAGGTTTTATCTACAAAAAGATGGGGCAGGAAGACGGATCTAAATCAGCTAAGCAGCTAATTTAACTAAACTGGGATTTGTATCTTCTTCTAAGTCAATTGTTCCAGTTCAAATTTTTCACAGTAAAATTTATTTATAGTCTGGCTGGTGTGGCCCAGTGGTTGAACATTGACTCATGCACCAAGAGGTCGCTGGTCCAATTCCCAATCAGGTCATATGCCCAGGTTGTGGGCCTGATCCCCAGTTGGGGGCATGCAGGAGGTGGCCAATCGATGTTCTCTCTCATCAATGTTTCTATCTTTCTCTCCCTCTCACTTCCTCTCTCTCTAAAATTAATAAAGAAAAAAATTATTTATATAACTTAAAACATGTGCATATGCACAATAGCCAAAGGTACACATAACTCAAATGTGCATTGATGGGTAAATAGATAAACAAAATGTAGTATACACATAATGGAATATTACTCAGCCTTCAAAAGGAAGGAAATGTTGACACCTGCTAACGTGTGAATGAACCTTGAATACATAAGGCACACATGAAAGGACAAATATTGTATGACTCTACTTCTGTGAGGTATTTAGAATAGTCAAGTGCACAGAGACAAAAGTGGAAGGCTTGTTACCAGAGGCTACGGTGAAGGGAGAAAAGTGTTAGTGTTTCACAGGTGCAGAGTTTCAGTGTGGAAAGATGAGAATGTTCTGGACATGGATGGTGGTAATGTAAGTGTACCACTGCACAATAATGAAAGTGTACAACGTAGTGCACTTAGTATACTTCAAAATGATAATGCTAAAAATTGTATCTATATTTCCTCACAATAAAAATATATGTAGGCAGAGCCTTTAAAAAAAATCATGAAATATTTTAAATTTAAAATATAAAAACAATCCCAGAGGAATTAGGAAAAAATTTGCTAAATTTCATAGAAGTATAGTCATATTTTATACTTTTATACGTCAGTCCAAAATCTTATGTGACAAAAACAGATGTTTCTGGAAAACTGTACCTTCTAAAGTTTTCAATTGTTATTTGACTCGACCAAAGTGATGAAATAAATTATCTTATTTTGGACATGGTTTTTGTTCCACAATGTCTCAGAAACTGATTGCCTTCGTCTTCCTTATTATTTTTTCATAAAATCCAATTTGATTAAGTTGCTCTGAGTTTAGGTCTCATAAATGTTGTAATGCATTTCTAAGAAATAATCAGGGTTTGAATTTTTCTGATTTCTCAGTAGAACAAAAATAGAGATGACTAATGATTCTGGAGCTCCAGTTCAAGAAATGTAATACCCAAGAGTACAAAGCACAGAAGACTCAAAATGACATTTCATATACAGGTAGAAGATTTTTTTAAAATAACATTTCACAAGCATCAGCAGAGCTGATAGACTAATACAGTCAGACATTTCTTTGGAGCAGAACGAATGAGTCTCCTGGTACAGCTATCGAATTAAATGTATAAGGCTCTCCCCCCTCATTAGTGGACTAGCCGTGGAAGCCATAAGACTTGGGGTTATAACAAGAATCACTTCAAAATAAAGGTAGTCTTTATAATTTACTAGAGCAGACGACAACATGGAATGTGACACGTTAAATTCTCTTTAGTTTCCGGTGAAAAGGCCAAAGGTCTGACAGAATTAACCTGCAGAATTCAGGTGTGCCACAATATGAGCTCCTCATTAGTGATGACTACTAACTTCAAAGGACTTGGCCAAAGGGATCTTTCTATTTGTTTGTTTGCCTTGTGTATAATTTTTCTTTAATTTTTAAATTTGTTTGGAGCCAGTTCTGTTTGAAGGGCAGAAAATGTGACTTTGTGAAAGATAAGAATCCTCTCTATTAAAAGGAAGAAAAGGTTTCCCGCTGTTCTGTTATTTCCCATTTAGCTCTACTAATGACTGACCGTTGTAAGGGGTCTGGGCCCAGACTTGGGGTATCTGGGGCAGAGCTGATGCTCCATTAATATTTCTGAATGAATAGTTTAAAGTTACATACCTGGAGGAGAAGGTGATACTTTAAAACGCGCTGCATCGGAACCACAAGCAGATCTCTAAGAGTGAACTTGCCATTATTTGCTCGTTTGGAACATTCCTGGTGAAATGTTTTTTTAAAACGTCTGTTAAAAACTTTGTTAGTTTTATCAAAGGGAGTCATAAAACAAACATGAAAAGATGCAAAGGGCATAAACAAAGCTGTTATTGCATAATAAATATCTTATTTTCCTTCTTAACAAGGCCTCTTTCTAAAAAATAGGAAGTACCTTCAATTAAAAACCAAAAAACAAACCAACCTTGTAGCATCGCAACTCTCAATATGAATTGATTAAGAACTATTTTACATATGAACATTATTTTCTCTCTAGGGGCCTCCAGGGTCTCCCCCACTTAGGCTGGTAGCTCTTCCTTTCCCAGGCTCACCCAAGCCCTGAGCCTTCCCCACCACCGTGCCTGGGCTCCTGCTCATGCCTACTGCCACGGGCTTTGTCCAGTTCCCCGCAACATCCATCCTTCTCCTCAAGAACTTCACTGTAGGCCTTCAGTAATAATCCCAACCAAAACGGTGCTCTCTCTGTGCCTGTGGGTCTTCTAATTATTGCTATACATAATCCCTTTCCCAATGTCTTCCACACCTCTAAGAAGCTAGTATTTGCTTAGTAAATATTTGTTGAACTGAATGAAATGGAATGATTGACTCCGAAATTTGCTAAGGTACACACCTACCACTGGCTTCCACATTTTGAAAGCCTCAGACTTATGTTTTTTTAATCTCACACTCTCTTTCTTAAAAGTGTATCTTAAACTAGATTGACCTGTTTGTTCTCTGGATATTAATTGTGACTTTGAGGAAAATACTTTGAAGCTCAAGTGTCAAAGTCTGAATTTAAATTAAGTTTGGCAACTCCTGGCTTTGTGACCTTGAACAAGTTCTTTTCCAATGTTACTGCTTCTCACGTATCTGTCGTTCAAAAACAAAACAAAAAATAGAGTACATAAAAGTATTCCTACTAGTAGGCAATTTAATAAGTTCAAAATCCTCAGACAACTGTACAACCCAGAACAAGGAATTTGGGAAGGAGTTATGTTTAAGGAAATACTCCTCAGCTGGTGACTCTGTTTCCCTTTGCCCACACGTAGTGTTTCTAGACAGGAAATGAGATTAGAAGTGCTAAGCAAACTCCATTAGCCTTGAATACCTGACTACCGGGCGGAAGCAAGAGGAGATGTCAGCTCACGCCCTGTCAATTGCTGCAGGTCGCTGGAAAGAACCATTTCAACTGATCACCTGCTTCTCCAGATTAGAGCAAGTTCTGGATCACGAGTTTCAAACAGGAGGTTAAACTGTTCATTCTATTGTAATGAATGGGTCTCATCTCCTAGCTGAATCTGCAGCTCCTTAAAACTGAGATGTCTCTTACACTTCCTATTAGCATCTTAACACAGTGTCGGACACAAATGCAATACACTCAACATTCACATTGCTCTGTGATGGAAGTCAGTTTAAAACTGTTGGTGGGAAAATTAGTTCCTTTCAGTCATAAGTTACAGGCTCAGAAAGTAAAGAAACTTAACAATGCGAGTGTTTTCTACAACTGGGGGCCTGAGACTGAGGCGTAAAATGCTTATTAGCCTTGAAAGTAAACAAAGAGCAGAAACGATTCTTCCCAAACATCCAGTCACATGCTTAGCCTAAACTCTGATTCCAACGAAGAAGAGAATACAATGGCTTGGGGATGAGCTAGCTTACAGGGCAAGATAAAGAGACTCTATTGCCCTTTACCCCATGTCATCTTGGTTCCAAAGTAGAGAAGAAAAAGACAAAAATACAAGGGCAAAAATCACCACCAGTGAGAAGCCATGAAGGAGGCTGAGAAGCACCCCCCTCCATCAAGCTAGGGCTTGCAGAGGACAACTCCAGCCGAGGGACCTGCTGGGGTGCCTAAACGCTCCCCAGGCAGGCCCACAGTCAGAAGTGGGGAGAGCGAGCCTTGCAGACTCAGCCCGCGGTCCTCTCTGCCCCTGGGGCTGACAGAGACTGCAGACATACGTCCCTAGGTCCCAGAGCACTGTCACTGGGCAGGACTTGGGCAGGGACTCTGAAAGACAGGACAGACACTTTAAGACAATGCTGAGACTGTGATGGGGGATTGATTGACAACTTGCTGATTCCTGTCAGAATTTTTATCTGTATTTTAACTTGCTTTAATGATAGCTCTGTTAGGAATGAGGTGTACAAGTTGTGAAGTTTTATCTTACCATCATATTTTAATGAGTCGAGGTGGCTCACAGTTCTAAGTTTATAGGCGTCGTTCTCCAAAGAGGAGCAGAAACGCGAACCAGGCCGCCAGGCTGTTACCCGGGAGTGACTCAAACCATCTCCAGACATAAGGTCCATGTCATCAGAGGATCATAAGCGGTAAGGAAATCATCCATGACATAGAGAGTCAGGCGGTACTCAGCAGCCTGTGATATGCAGACTCTCTCACCAGCAGCTTGCTTTGTGGGAGTGAGGAATTATGAAATCGTACCAGACAATTCAAAAACAATGAAGGGGTTCTGATTTGGAAATCACCTGCCTCCTTCTGGCCCTGTTCATCACCTGACCTCCTACTAAACTGAACAAAAAGCAGCAAAAGGAGCCCTGGCCAGGTAGCTCAATTGGTTAGCGTATCATCCCACTATGCCAGCGGTTCTCAACCTCCTAACGCCGCGACCCTTTGATACAGCTCCTCATGTTTTCCGTGGGCGTATCTGCATGTGGATGGACCCGCCTGGAGACGGGTAGAGAAGAGGTGTCTCGGTTCCTAAGACCATCAGAAATATGTGTTTTCCGATGGTCTTAGGCAACCCCTGTGAAAGGGTCATTCAACCCCCAAAGGGGTCGCGACCCACAGGTTGAGAACCCTGCGCTACCTCGAGCTTGTGGGTTCAATCCTTGCTCAGGGCACATATAAGAATCAACCAATGAATGCATAAATAAGTGGAACAATAAATCAATGTTTCTGTCACTCTCTCTCAAATAAATAAATTAAAACACAAACTTTAAAAAAAAGCAGCAAAAAAGATTCAGGCAGACAATGAAGCCACACAACCACTTCAGAGTTGACTCTGTATGTCTACCTGAAATTTAAGAAAATCCAAACATATCCTATAGTTGCGGTGATAATTCATATAACATATAAATAATTTTACAAAAGTTCTTTGAAAGTGCAAAGTATCCTTGTGGGGAAAAAAAGATGTACAGGAAAAAAAATGACTTAACCCAGTTTCCAGACTTCTTTTCTATTGTTACCACGTGCTCTGCTTACACTGACCCCCAAGTCATTTTCAAACCTTCCTGACTCTTCTGGTTAGACATACCAAATCTTCCAGAATGTTCTCCATGTGTCAGGACTTACCGCACTCTTCGGTGACCTAACTCAGTGCCCCTCCGGAGAATTCTCCGGCATTCTCCCCATCCTGAACCTTCACCTGTTCAATCTTACTAATGGAGCCCTGTCCATTAGTGCTTATCACCTACTACTTGAGCTTATACTTGTGTCTGTCTTGTCTTCCTTCTTATAGGCACTATCCATCCATTTTTATGCACCTGCTCCTGATGTCTTATATTTTTAATCAACATTGTAAATCTATATATACATGATCTCACATGCATCCTACTCATCCTGTAACTCTTACAACACAGGGAGCAAATGACTCATCACCTCCCTAAACCTCGCCTTGCTCAGCCATAACATAAGGAAATAAAATGCAGATCTCTCACAACCACGAGGATCTAATGAGATGGTGCACATGAAACACTGAGCCAGAGCCTTTGATTTTCCTACTGTTATTATTTCTACCATATTTTCTTTCATAGAGACAACTATTGATATATTTTACAAAATTGACAGGAATTTATGTTTAGAATACATAGGAAAATTAACTGTTGCATTGATCATGAAAAGGAATTTATTGCTCTTCGATTATTTCATGAACAGACAAAAAACAACAGGCACCTCTAATTTCAGTTTGACGTCTTCTTTCGTCTTAGAAATGTTGTCTAAATTAGAGATGGCCGACTCCACTCCACTGCAGTACTGCCCATAAATAACCAACCTGAAGGGGAAAGAGACAGAGGAAGAAATCTGTAGCACAGAAGAGCAAGAATAAAGGGGAAAGAGGCAGAAGGTCCACCTCTCTAAAACCACAGCTAGTGAGAATCAAAGTAACTCCTGTCTGTCCTGCACCTCCAACTGCCTAGGTAACCCCAGGCCAACTACTCACAGTATCGCTGAACCTCAGCCTTTTCACTTCTTTTTAACACAAACCAGACAGTCATAGAAAGAGGATCATTCATATTTATGCTGTTAAGAATGACTATTTTTATTTCTAAATCTGAATGGGATTAGGTTCATGTACATTTTTATAGCAGGCAGATTTTTAAAATTGGCTTAACGACTGTTAATATTGAGTACAAATATATATCACAGAACAAAATTTAAAATTTCTGTTTATAATAGTTCCTATTACAGCCCAGCTGGTGTGGCTCAGTGGTTGAGTGTCCACCCATGCACCAAGAGGTCACCAGTTCAATTCTCGGTCAGGGCACATGCCCAGGTTGTGGGCCAAATACTCAGTGGGAGGCATAAAGGAGGCAGCCAATAGATGTTCTCTCTCATAATGTTTCTATCTCCCTCTTCCTCTCCCTTCCTCTCCCTCTAAAATCAATAAAGAAAAAATATATATAAATAAAGCTGCTCTAAACATCCATGTGCAGTTTCCTATTATATAAATGTCTACCTACTATAATTTATACCTGAAACTAATATCATATTGCATATCGACTGTAACGTTCCTATTAGAGATAAGCTTTTTACTGTTTACCCACACTCAGCAAGAGTGTAGTGTTATACTACAATTTTATCGTAATCACTACTTATGACTCCCATTCATCAAAGACCTCCTCCTCCTTCCTACCCTGTAATTAGGAAAATGCATCTAACACATTATCTGAAAGGTGGGGCGAGAGGCCTGAACCGTGCAGGTCGACGAGCCTCACGGCTAGACCAGAGCCCGCCTCCGGGGGCGTGCCCGGGAGGGGCGTGGATGTTGGCCAAAGAGGCTGGGTAATGTACTGCTTCTTGTAGCTCTCCATTAGGAAAAACTACTGCTGAGTTCATGCTTGTCTCATCGTTGTCCATACTAACTCTCATTATGGTTACAAACAGCCACGAAATGTAAAGTTCAAAAGTTACCTTTCCTTGTAGTTAATGAAAATTTGATACAAGTTCTGGTCATTCTTATTTACGATGGAATCATGAATTTCTTGCATTAGGCTCCGATGAACTTTTACAAGTTCCTTAGAAAAGAAAACAACCTTAAAGTCAATCAGAAATCAGAACCAAACCCCGCCCCCAAGCCCAGAATCCCTATTGTTGCTAGATTTCCCATTCAAGGAGATGCTGAACGCCCTCAGTACAGAAATCTGCTCCCATCAGTAAAGAGAGGAGGAAGAGGAGGGGGCAGAAGTAGGGGAGAAAGTATCAAGCAGGGGAGGGGAGAGAAGAGAGTGATAGGCCCTGTTCATAGGAAATAGCAATTTCAGATCTGACTTGAAATGCCAATGTCCTATGAAAAACAAATTATTTCACTGGTTATTAAAGGGTAATTTATTCCTTGTATAAAAAACATGTACAGCTCATTTTCATTTTGTAATCGCTTTAAATTTTTAAATACAACTACCCAAGTTCTTAATGTTTTATTGACAAGATAAGTAATGACTTGTGTCCTTGGGACATGAAAATGTAGATTTGTTCTGTGGTCAATTAGTGGTGTCCTGGTGCTAAGCTAACAACAGACTAAATTATATGAAGCCAGACAACTCATGGCAGAAATAAGGAGCAAATAAACTGTACTAGGCGGTTTACTAGAGCAACTCAAAAAACAGAATTTCACATTTTTCCTGATAAGCAAGGAATTTTCAGACAGGCAGTGAATACATGTTACAGCCAGGAAACGAGGGAACCAGAAACAAGGAGCCAATCCTCCCACGATCTCGTACCCTGAGGCACTCACTGACTTCTCTGCAGAAAGGACACAGAATATGTTGGGCCGGTCACTTTGTTGAGGACCATGGAAAGGCCATAAGAGTACCAATTATCAAATAGGTCCTCGGTTATACTGAGCACAATTAGGTGGTTCAAGATCCTCAGCTTCCTAGAATGTACACTTTGCTTTATTCTAACCCTTCCCCTGACACGACCTCTTTTTCCTGCAATGTTTCGAATCAATGAGAGTGTCTTCATTGGGCCCAAATCAAGGACTAGAACAACGTGCCATGGCTAACGGACAGGTGCACATCCATGCTGAATGTCACAGAAACAAAATACAAGGGACCAGTCAGGTGATACAAGCAAGCCTGCACATAAAAGCTGACATCTGATCCATAAAAGCTATCTATGAAAATCAAAGCCAGTTCTAAGGGATCTACGAACTTGAGTCTTGCCTAGCATGACCTCAGCTGGCACAGCATTTGGCTGGCTTCAGTGTTTCCAAGTAAATATTCTTTTAGGATTATAAGATAATTGGAAGGTCCTTTGAAACTTGAAAGCTTACGTAAACCTAAAAAAACAGTTCCACAGATATTACCATTAAAATAGACTGTGGAACCAAAGGAAGTCGTGTATTTCAGAAACAGGAGTTAAAGCTGATACAACTGAAGTTAAAGCAGAAACGAAGCACCAGGAGAGTGGAGAGATAATGGGAAGTAGAGGAGATGGAAGGAGTCAGGACAGTGCCCATAAGATGGGGTCGAGGGGCTGGAGGAACCACGGAGAAGTGAGGGAGGCAGAAGGGGGCTCCCACAGGTCAGAGACAGGCGCCCCAGGGACTACTCAGCAGAGACTCCCTTGTCATGACAAGCACTTAAGGAAAATGCATGAATCTTATCCATGTGTCTTCTGCATGTATTTTGGTTAAAGATGATGACTTATCAGTTATTTCTTGAGAATACAGCTATAAGACCTCAAGAGGCAGAAAACAGAATCAAAATTCTTCAGGAATATAAGAGAAGGCTAACACGGGAATCTGGAAACCATGCAAATTTTACAGAAGTACACCAGTCTCAGCTAGTGCATTTTACTTACAGGAATGTTGATGAAGACAGACTCAAACTCTGCTGCTGTCAGAAACCGTTTCAGCGGGGCCATGAAGTACTGCCAGAAAAGGGGAGAGAAGTACCATTAAAGCCCGACATGTCCTAACCTAGATAACAGGTTTTATCCAACAAACAATAAATATTTATTGAAAGTCAGTTGTTTATCAGTATTATGAATACCCAAGAAAAAGCAGAAACTATTTTCTTTATCTTAAGGATGTTTATGCTTGAACAGAGAGAGAAAGACACAAATACAAGTTAATATATTTAAAGCATAAAATACTTTGGGTGGTGAGCACACAATGGAATAGGCAGATGATGTATTATAAAATTGTACAGCTGAAACTTATATGTTATTGACCAATGTTACCGCAATAAATTTAATTTAAAATAAATAAAATAAAATAAAAGGTTTAGACAATAAATACTTCTGAAAGTAAGGGAAAAAAGAGAACACCATTGTCTAAATTAGCAAAAAATGGCAACATGTTGGAGGTATCTTTGAGGATAAATGCAAAATATCACTCATAGGTTTTGTGGAGATTCTAGATCCCTGAGATCAATAATCTGCTTATGCAATTTATGGATCATTCCCTTCATTCCTTGAGTATTTTGTTCCTGGTCCACCCTATCTCCCATTACTACTCCCATCTTCTTTCTTGGCAATCTCAGTATCTGTGCAGATAATTCTTCAAGTAGCCTGGCCTCCAGTTCCTCGAACTACAATCCCTGTGCTCCATCCTGCTCAGCTCCCTACCCTGGGGTCTTATCCCAAGACCTTCCCATTATCGACAATTGCAAATGCTCCACAGCATTAACTGCAAGCAATCAGTTCTCTGACTACTACCTCCTACCTTTGCTGCTCATTCCTTCAAGGAATTCTTCAACCCCCTTTCGTCTACCAATCCCTGACCATCCCATCTCTCTCATGTCCTCACTTCCCTCCTTATCCAGTGACATTCCATTCATGAACCATCATCAAAATCAGTTCCCTGTATATACCCTTACCCTCTCTTCGTCCACTGTACTGTTCTGGAAAAAGAAAACCCCTGCTCAAATCTAGCTTGCCACCTATGCTGTGCCTGGACCTAAGTAGTTAAACATGAACTACACTGATAGTCTAATTTTAAATATAATCACAAAACTCAATGGGACCTATAATGCTTCATAATCCTACAAATCTTCCATATTTAAGTTCACTAATCAATTCTTCCACATCTTCATCTCTTTTTCCAACGTTCCAAAACTTTCTCCTGGTTCTCATTTTCCTAACCTCTAAATGTCGAAGTCTTCAGAAATGACCTCAAACATCTTCTCCATCATCATCCATTCCCCGGGTGATCTCATCTAGTCCCATGGACTTAAACACCACTCCATAATGATAATGGCCCAATCTACCTGTCAACTCAACCTTTCCCTTTAATACCAGAACCCATTGCTTAACCTCCTCCTCAACACATCTCCTTGGAAGCTAATAGGTCTTGCAAACTCAGAATGTCCAATAGACCTGTGATTCCCAACCTGTCCTTCCCCGTCTCAGTCAACATCTTCGCCAGTCACAGAGTGGCTCATGTTTAAAAGCCTAACAGTCTTTTATTTTTCATTTTAAAGTCGATTAATTTTTATTTATTTTATTTTATTTTTATTAATTAGTTTGGATTTTTTTTTACCGATGTCCCTATTTTTTTTCCCATTGACACCCTCCTCCCTCCCCCCGCCCCACCCCCTGCCTTTACCATACTGTTGTCTGTGTCCATTGGTTATGCATATAAGCTTATAAGTTCTTCAGTTTATCTGTTCTCCCCCCGCCCCCTTCCCTCTGAGGTTTGTCAGTCTGTTCCCTACTTCCATGTCTCTGGATCTATTTTGTTCATCAACTTACTTTGCTCATTATATTCCACAAATAAGTGAGATCATGTGATATTTCCATTTCTCTGACTGGCTTATTTCACTAAGCATAATACTCTCCAGGTCCCTCCATGTCATCTCAAAGGGTAAGAGATCTTTCTTACAGCTGCATAGTACTCCACTGTGTATATGTATCACAGCTTTTTTATCTGCTTATCTACTGATGGACACTTGGGCTGTTTCCAGATCTTAGCTATTGTAAATAGCTCTGCTATGAACATGGGGTACATACATTCTTTCTGACTGGGTGTTCAAGCTTCTTAGGATATATTCCTAGAAATGAAATCACTGGGACAAATGGCAGTTCCATTTTTAATTTTTTGAGGAAACACTATATTGTTTTCCATAGTGGCTGCACCAGTCTGCATTGCCACCAGCAGAGTACTAGAGTCCCCTTGTCTCCACACCCTCGCCAACACTTGTTGAGGATTTGTTGATGGCAGCCATTCTGACAGGTGTAAGGTGATACCTCATTGTCGTTTTGTTTTCTTTTAAAATATATCTTTATTGTTGACTGTATTACCGATGTCCCTCCTCCCCCCCCCCCCTTTGACTCCTTTCTCCCCACTCCTGCCCTTCTTCCTTTCCCCAAACTATTGTCTGTGCCTGCTGGTTATGCATATATGCATAGAAGTTCTTTGGTTTTTCTCTTCCTGCCCCACCTCCCCCTTCCCTTTGAGATTCCTCAGTCTAACAACCAATTTGTACTTCTTAATCCCTTCACCTTTTTCACCCAACTCCCCTCCCATCCGGTAACCAACAAAAAGTTCTCTGTTATCTATGGTCTGTTTCTGTTCTGCTTGCTCATTTTGTTTGTAGATTCAATTGTTGATAGATATGTATTTATTGCCATTTTATTGTTCATATTTTTTTATCTTCTTCTTCAAGAAGACCCATCAACATTTCATATAATACTGGTTTGGTGGTGATGAACTCCTTTAGCTTTTTCTTGTCTGGGAAACTCTTTATATGGCCATTGATTCTAAATAACAGCTCTGCAGGATAGAGTAATCTTGGTTGTAGGTCCTTGCTTTTCATTAGTTTAAATATTTCTTGCCACTCCCTTCTGGCCTGCAAAGTTTCTTTTGAAAAACAGGCTGACAGCCTTATGGGAGTTCCACTGTAGGTAACTAACTGCTTTTCACTTTCTGAATTTTGATGGTGATGTATCGTGGTATGGACCTCTTTGGGTTCATCTTGTTTGGGACTCTCTGAGCTTCCTGGACTTGTATGTGTGTTTCCTTCACCTAGGGAAGTTTTCTGTCATTATTGTTTCAAATAGGTTTTCAATTTCTTGCTCTCTCTCTTCTCCTTCTGGCACTCCCATAAGCGAATGTCGGTATGCTTGAAGTTGTCCCAGAGGCTCCTTATACTATCCTCATTTTGGGGGGTTCTTTTTTCTTTTTGCTGTTCTGACTGGGTGTTTTTTGCTTTTTCTTATATCCCAATCGATGGTTTGCTTTTTGGCCTTACCTACTCTACTACTGAATCTCGGTAAATTATTATTTCCGTTAGTGCATCCTTCATTTCTGACTGGTCCTTTATCATGCTCTTGAGGTCCTCATTAAGTTCCCTGTCATTATGAAGTTCTTGAAATTCTCACTAAATTCATTGAGCATCCTTATAAGCAGTGTTTTTTGAACTCTGCATCTGTTAGATTGCTTATTTCCATTTCATTTAGTTCTTCTCCTGGAATTTTGTTCTGTTCTTTCATTTGGGACGTTTGTCTCCTCATTTTGGCTGCCTCCCTGTGTTTCTTTCTATGTATTAGGTGGAGATGCTATGTCTCCTAGGTTTCCTAGGGTGGCCTGTTATAGTAGGTGTCCTAGAGGGTCCAGTGGCACAGCCTCCTTGATCAGCCCAGCTAGACCCTCAAGGTACACCCTTAGTGTGGACTTTATACCCTTCTGTTGTAATTAAGTCTTGATTGCTGTTGGCACATCAATGGGAGAGATTTACTCAGGCTGATCAGATGCAAGGACTGGCTGTGCCCACTGACCACCAACCTCTGACTACCCTGGATGATCAGCTGTGCAGGGGCCCACCACACAGAGCAAGACTTACTTCATCAGGACTCCGGTTCCCACTGAGTCCATTCCTTGAGTGTGTCACTTATAGAGGTGGTTGGGTGGTGGTGCTCCAACGTGTTCTGAAGCTGTCCACTAGGTGTGCTGGCTCTGAGGCAAGGTCAGCCACTGCCTGTGTTCTACCTGGGGCCACCAGGCATAAGCTACAAAGCAATATGCAGGTGGCTGCTCCTTGTGCTGGGCTTACAGGTGTCCAAGCAAAGCTAAGCTGTGAACCAAGACTGGCTGTTTCTAGTGCCAGACCTGGGACCACTTAGTGAGAGGTATGGGGCTCACTGAAGCCAGATGCTGCTTGTTTGAGAGAAATCTGAAGCAGGAGTTAAAACAGGCCAATTCTACAGTAAAGCCACTGGAAACAGCTTAGGTGGGCCCAAAAGTTGGTTGGGGCAGGGCCTCAGGGAATCACCAGGGTGGGGCAAACAGTGTGAGCCAGATTGCTGGAGTCCCAGATATGTGCCCCCTTGCCAGTCCCATGGGGGAAGGGCTCATGAAAGGAACAATGGCCTCCAACAGCAGGTCTGTCTGGGAGAAAGCTGCGTCTCCAGCCTTTATCCCGATGCCAAACAACTCAGTTCTTTCCCGTATGTCTCTGGTGCCTTTGAAGCTGCCTCTCCAACACTGGAGCCCAGAAGGAGAAAGTCTGATTAAGTCCATGTGTGGGTCCTTTAAGAGGAACTGCATGGGGTATTCCAGAAGCCTCAGCCTCCCTCAGCCTCAGTTCATGCTGGTTTTTATAGCCATTAAGTGATGGGGACTTCTCTTCCTGGCACTGGAATCCTGAGCTGGGCACTAGGTGTGGGACAGGAACCCTTTGCTCCTCAGGGAGGACCTTCACAGTCAAGGTATCCTCTTGATTTTTATCTGCCACACATGGGTGTGGGACCAGCCCATCTGCGCCTCCTTCCCTCCTACCAGTCTCGAGGTGGCTTCTTTACTTTTGTAATTGTGGGACTTCCATTCAGCTTGATTTCAGGTGGTTCTGAATGATGGTTGTGCTGTAGTTTAGTTGCAATTTTGGTGTGGTTGTGGGAGGAGGCAATACCTTGTTAACCTATGCCAACATCTTGACATCTTGACTGGAAGTCATACCTCATAGTCGTTTTAATTTGCATCTCTTTGATAATTATGAAGCTGAGCATTTTTTCATATGTACCTTGGCCATTTGTATGTCCTGTTTGGAAAAGTGTCTATTCAGGTCTTCTGCCCATTTTTTAATTGGTTTGTTTGTCTTCTTTTTGTTGAGCTGTATGAGTACTTTATGTATTTTGGAAACTAACCCCTTATCTGATGTATCATTGGCAAATATGTTCTCCCATACAGTGGGGTCTCTTTCATTTTAATGCTGGTTTCTTTTGCTGTGCAGAAACTTTTTAGTTTGATGTAGTCCCATATCTTAATTTTTCCCTTTGTTTCTCTTGCCCTAGGCGTTATATCAGTGAAAATTCTGTTACACATGATGTCTGAGATTTTTCTGCCTACAGTATCTTCTAGGATTTTTATGGTTTCTCGAATTACATTTAAGTCCTTTATCCATTTTGAGTTTATTCTTGTGTATGGCGTAAGTTGGTGGTCTAAGTTTCTTTTTTTTTTTTGCATGTACTTGTCTAATTTTCCCAACACTATTGAAGAGAGTGTCTTTACTCCATTGTATGCTCTTGCCACCTTTGTCAAATAATAATTGAGTATAATGTCTTGGGTCAATTTCTGGGTTCTCTGTTCTGTTCCATTAATCTATATGCCTGTTCTTGTGCCAGTACCAGGCTGTTTTGATTATAATGGCTTTGTAGTATAACCTGATATCCAGAATTATAATCCCTCCAACTTTGATCTTCCTTTTTCAAGGTTGGTGTGGCTATTCGGGGTCTGTTTTGGTTCCATATAAACTTTTGGAGTATTTGTTCTAGATATGTGAAATATGCCATTGGTATTTTAAAGGGGATTGCATTGAATCAATAGATTGTTTTGGGTAGTATGGACATTTCATTATGTTGATTCTTCCAATCTATGAACATGGTATATGCTTCCATTTTTTTATATCTTCCTCTATTTCTTTTTTCAATGTCCTGTAATTTTCTGAGAACAAGCCTTTTACCTCCTTGGTTAAGTTTATTCCTAGTTATTTTAATCTTGTTGTTGCAATGGTAAATGGGACTGTTTTTTTAGTTTCTCTTTCTGTGTGTTCATTATTGGTGTATAAAAATGCTAATGACTTTTGGATGTTGCTTTTGTATCCTGCAGTATACTTTGCCAAATTCATTTATTAAATCTAGTAGTTTTTTTGGTGGAGGCTTTAGGGTTTTCTATGTACAATATCAAGTCATCTGTGAATAATGACAGTTTCACTTCCTCTTTTCCAATTTAGATGCCTTTTATTTTTTCGTCTTGCCTGATCACTGTGGCTAAGACTTCCAGAACTATGTTAAGAATGGCAAAAGTGGACACCCCTGTCTTGTTCCTGTTCTTAAGAGAAATGCTTTTAGTTTTTGCTCATTGAGTATGATGTTGGCTGTAGGCTTGTCATATATAACCTTTATTATGTTGAGGTATGACCCTTTTATTCCCACTTTGCTGAGTTTTTATCAAAACTGGGTGCTGGATTTTACTCTATTGATTTTTAGAAAGAGAGGAAGGGAGAAGAGAGAAACATTGATGTGAGAGCATAACACCAGTCACGGCTGCCTCCTGCATGCCCCCCACCATGAATCGAGCCCAAAACCCAGGCATGTGCTCTAACCAGGAACTGAACCAGCAACCCTTTGGTGCATGGGATGATGCCCAACCAACTAAGCCACATTGGCCAGGGCAGAACCTAGCATTCCTGATTGTTCTCTTTACCTAATTCATCACCAAATCCACTTGGCTCTATTTTCAAAATTTACTCAGAATCTGACCCCTCCTTACCACTTCTACGTATACCACCATTTTCTATCAACCTGATTTCACAATAGCCTTCTGACTTTTCTCTCATTTTCCACCCTTGCCTGACACGGGTTGAAATGCACTGTTAAAAACTCATATTAAATTATGTCATTTCTTCTACTCAAAATGCTCTAGCCTTGAACGGGATGCTCCTGGATGCCCCTCCGTGACCTGGTGGCTCCCACAGCTCCCTGATCTCTCTGAACCCTGCACTGATGGCGCTTCAGCCACCTGGACTGTGGCTGCTCCACGAAGCACGCTGAACAGTCCCACCTACAGGCTTCCTCCAGGAACGGCCACCCCTGAGAGGTTCCATTGGCTTGGGCCTTCAGTTCACTCAACTGTCCCCTTAAATATGACCTTATCCTAGAAACCTCCCATTACCACTCGATATAAAATAATACTAGTTCTCCCCCATCACTCTCCGGCCCCTTCCTCTGCCTTATTTTTCTTCAAAGAATTTATTACCACCGGGAATGCTTATTTGCTTAAATGACAGACCTTTCCATGACCAAGAACTGGTTTTATTATGTTCACTGCTGAATGCTCAATCCCCAGATCAGGCCCATTCAGGTGCTAAAATCAATAAATGTTGTGCCATGATTAAATCTGCTTTGAGGTCTGTGAGTCCAAAGATCTACTGAAAATTAGACTACACACACACCTAGTGGAAACACTGGCGCTAATATATTAACAACACAAAGCAATTTGGGGGCATCAAGAATGATACCTGATTACTTACTTTTTCTATTGATTCCAATGTTTCTGTATATTTTTCTTCCGTCTGCTTAATTTCTGTTAGGCAGCAACTTCGTATGTCATTTTCTGGACACTTCTGCAATTAGAATTATCCAATTAAAATTATTTAGTCAAATTCATGTGTTAATCTCTCTGGCAGTAGCTAGAAAGAGATCAAAATTATTGCTGATTTTCTGAAGCTTTCCATTTCTAATAACACACAAAACCGAAAGACCTGTATGGCTCTAACTGTATAACCATGACTTGTTATTGCATCTGGAGCCACAGAAATGTGCATTTTATAGGTCAAAACAATCCTGGGAAATCTCGGGTCTAAACTTTCATTTCACTAGTAAAGAGAGCAAGTGCGAGATATAAATGACACGTCACCCAGCAAAACGCTGGCAGCGGAGCAATAGGACATAATTTCAGGGCCATGAAACTGTATTGTTAGGAAAGGAAATCTTCTCTGAGAAAGAAGGTAAATAGCCTTTAAATTTGATACATACATAATGAGAAGGTAAGAAAGAAAACAAACAAATACCTATCCCGGCAGAAGTTACATAAAGCTATAGTAAGTCTTTCAAATAGTCACTTTCCTAATAAAATACCCAGAGTAACTTAAAAAACAAGGCAAGTGCAAGTCCTACGGGTTGATGTGCTTCCTCCGCTTTCATTAAGTCCTCGTAGACTTCTCCACCTTCGTCTTCCCCGTAGACACAGTCATACAGGCCCTCTTCATCCTCCACGTGCGTTTCACTGGAACAAAGGATGCAACTATTAGGACAGGCAATGGCTAGAAATGCTAGTAGAAATTCCAGAGAGGAAAGAAAATGAAATTAGTAGTCCAAGGCTTACATTACAGCTCTGTCCCTCCTCCCAGGAACGATGACAACAACAGAACCCGATGATGGTGGCAGCCACACTGACATTCACTGCGCATTTACTGCGCACAAGCACATACACGATCACTCCGTAAATATTTCCCCACTAAGTTCCCGCAGGCCCAACATCAGTTGTGCTGTGAGGGGGACGTGAGCAGTGGATCCATGGTCGAGATCAAGGCTTTGAGAGGACAAAAGGTACTGGACTTTCCCAAGACAACACAGCTCGTCAGTGGCGGGGCCAAGATGGAAAACGGTCTGTCGTACACGCGAATGCTTTTTTTCTTATTAATTAATTTTTGTTACAGATGTTTCTCCTTTTCCCTTCCACTGATTCCTCCCTCCCCCTCCCTCCCTGCCCTGTCCCCAGTTTGCGAATGCTTTAATCATGTTATCAAAGGGTGTGATATGGAGAAGGCAGGGGGGTTTAAGAGGATCTAATATGCTACAGATAATCTTTTTTTTTTAATCCTCACCTGAGGATATTTTTTTCATTTATCTTCAGATAGAGTGGGAGTGGAGGAGAGAGAGAGAGAGAGAAACATCAATGTGAGAGAGACACATAGATTGGCTGCCTCCCGCACAACTCTGACCAGGGCCAGGGACCAAACGGCAACTGAGGTCCATGCCCTTGACCGGAATTGAACCTGTGACTATTTGATCCATGGGCCAATGCTCTAACTGCTGAGCCAAACTGGCCAGGGCTACAGAGAGTCTTTTAAAGGCACCTGGCCCTGGCCACTTTGGCTCAGCAGTTAACGAGTTGGCCCATGGACCAATGAGTTGCAGGTTCAATTCCAGTCAAGGGCATGTACCTCGGTTGCAGTTCAGCCCCAGCCCTGGTCAGGTCATGTGGGAGGCAGCCAGATGATGTGGCTCTATCACATCGATGTTTCTCTCTGCCTCTCTCTCTCTCCCTCCCTCCCACTTTATCTGATGATAAATGGAGAAATATCCTCAGATGAGGAATAGAAAAATAAAATAAATAAAAGCAGCTGTTTCTGCAGGGTTATCACTACCAAGATCTCGTGCAGTGGGTTTCAAACCATGTTCCTTTTAGAGGGCACCCCCAGGTCCCCTTTAGCCAAATTCTGCTTTTATCTGTTTTATTTGTATTTGGTTTACAGAAATGGTCCCAAGGCCTCAAGGCAGTTTTTAAACCATTTTAAATCTGCTCCTTGTCTCCTGGCAGTTGAAAACAAGCCATTTTTAATGCTTCCATGAGCACCTGAACACAGTGTCTGACTTACACAGCTTCCCCAAGTCCTTCCGACAGGACTGTAACCACTGCAGGCAGGAAACACTGGCCCGCCCAGCCCACATTCTCCTTAAGTCGTTCTGCTCAGTTCAAGACTTCGATAAAGAGCTTCTATTAACTAATAATGCCAAAGAATTGAGATGAATAAATTTAGACATTTTAGAACAAATTCTTAACACCTCTCTAAAACAGAAACGCACCCCATCAATCCTGCCAGCCCTTAGCATCGCTTGGGCCTGTGCAGACAAAACACCATAAATGACAGGCACAAAAATAAAAACACTGCAACTGTAAATGTCCCTGTGCAACTTGGAGCCCTTTGCAAAGTAGGTGCAACCACAAGGTGGCCTGTGTTTCTCACGAAGGGTTGCTTGGAGGCGTCCGACAGGCGTGAGCTGTCCAACACCAGGAGAAAGGGTGGTGTGCTCAGTGGCGCCACCTGGTGGAAACAGAAGTTCAGAGAACTCTGCTCTGAGGAAAATGCATTCCCTGGTTACCTGTCCACTCATCCCCCACCCAGCAGGTATTTCCTAATACCTTACTGAGCATCAGACTTGGCTGTACTCAAAATGCAGAGATGAAGAAGATTCTAGAGCTCCGCCATAGTCTAGCATGGGGAACGGCACACGAGCATGTAATCTAGTAAATGAAACAGAGGAGCCGACGAGGGCGCAGAGAGAGCAAGAATAAGCCCGGCAGGGCCGGCAGGGAAGGCTTCGCGGGACACTGCAGCTCGGTGGCGTTATCACCTGAGTCACAGGTATCTGCTAATGAACACGAGGTTCCTGGAGATACGGCTGCAGATGGGCCGACATGGTGTCTGCCCTGAGAGGTGGCCACTGCGTGAGGAGAGGTGACCAGCACTGCCGAGGGCACCAACGTGTGCAAAGGCAGAGAGGTGTGACGAGCGGGCAATGTGAGGAGGACCAGGTGAGTGAGGTGAGCCCCAGAAGGAAGACTTGAAACCAGATTCAGAAGGGCCTTGCACTCTGGGGGCTCAGCCTTCCCCGGGCATCCGGGAACCAAAGGGGGTTTACACGGAGGTAGTCGGAGGGGGCGAGCACACAGGCAGGGACGTCAGTGAGCCCAGAAATGAAATCCTGAGGGGAGAGGTATTGAGAGCCAAGACTGGGTGCGGAGAGAAACAGACTTAGAAGACAGTGTCATTGAGTCAAGCAGGCTTGGAGACCCGGCAGAAGTCGGGAGAGAGGAGATGGGGGAAGGCTACCTCTCGGGTGTCTACTTTGGAAAAATGGGGAGATAGTGAGTCATACTGGCAGTTCCAGAATTTCTACCCTGAAGGGCTTGGGCAGGCAATCTAGCCAGAGAAGAGTTAAATTGGTTTGGGTGTTTTCTATAACTCAGCAAAGCATGAGTTCAGGAAAGAGTAAACAAATGAGAAATGATGAAGCAACATCCACGGGGATCCTGGACAAGGAAGACGAGCTGTGAAATCCATTTCTCTGGGGTTCCTATTCCCTGGTCTCCTGCCTGTGACCCTCTAATCCTCGTCAAAATAAATTAAAAAAAAACAAAAAACTCATCTGCTGAAGTCCTGCTTTTGCCTATTTCTCATGAGGGTAGAGAAACATTACATGTAAATTCACAGAGGTTTTTCTCTAAGAACTGTAGGAGACACACACTCTGAGATTGTACTAGAACAGTCTGGGTTTCCTTATTCAACTCCACAGTAAAGTTGTTTTGTTGCTAACAGTTTGGTTAATAATTTGTGATCTGTGTAAAATAAAGCAGCAAGGAAGGAGGGCCGAGCTGTGGTTCTTCAAATGGTCAATAAATCTACATGCTTTCCTGTGCCTGGGCCACCTGTATAGGGCGTGTCTGACACGGGTCTTCAACCCAGGAGAAGCAGGGACTCACAAGGCAGCGTCTGACACACTCTCCTTCTGCCCCACGCTGTCTCTCCTGCTGAGGCAAGAGGGATTCCCTCTGCAGTGAGGGGCAGACCTGTGCTGGTTCCAAGGGCTTCCCTTTGGGCAGTTCACCCCAAAAGTTAGAGTTAAGGATATGAGCCCATGGAAATCATAACAAAGCTAAGACTGAAGTCAAGTTGTCATAGCCAACTCAGAAGCAGGCATTTGCATGACTAACACCACAACTGAACCTTAACCACCAAATGCACAGTTGAAGTGCACCGACCTCACAGAGCATGAGCCCACATTTTCTCCAAACTTAGCTAGAAGTACATCCTCACTGGATTTATCCGACAGCGACAGACCAAAATGCTATGGAAATTAGTAACAATGAGTGACAATTGGTGGGGTTTAACAAGGACTGTCATCATAGCACTAGAAAGATACATTCCTCCTAATACTTCGAAGAATTTGATTATATGACCAGTAATCCTACAGTCACTTTAGGAAGATTGTACCCAATTCAATGAGGCAACTATCTAGTTTAAGATTAGTGAGTTCTTGGAGATTTTAAGAGATAAGAGGCTATTCTTAATATACATTAAAAATATATGACTTCCTGTGCCCTGGCCAGTTTGGCTCAGTGGTTGAGCATCAGCCTACGGACCAGAGAGTCCCGGGTTTGGTTCCCACTAGGGGCACGTACCACCAAAAAAATATAAAAAATAAAATATATAACTTCCTGGAAGGAGACTTGAATTTTAAAATATAAAGAAAATATAAAAACAAATGGAATAAATTATATATAGGACTCCAAGAACCATCCAAATGCCACGGACGCTGGGAGGAGCTGCTGACCGCCCTGTGGCTCCCATCAGCCCGCTGGGAGACCACACACAGCCATTAAGACCCTCTGTCCTGGAATAAGAACTGTGTGTGTGCAAGTGCAAAGACAACTAACTACTCGAGACATGACCCTCAGCAAGTTACTTAGCTTTCCTAGATTCAGTTTTCTCCTTTGTAAATTGTGATGATAGTAGTAACCACCTCATCATGTGGAATCGCACGAGACTGTGCGTGGAACACGGCTAGGAAACGGGCCTTAACCAGCTCTGTGGACTGACCTAACAGCCCCAGCTGGAGGCCTGACGCCTGGCAGAAAGCAGATGCTTAGCGCAGCTTTGGCTTATTCATTCAGAAAACAGACACGTGCCGAGGGCCAGACGCTGACGTTCTAGGAAGACAGCCACGGACAAGGTCAAGTCCCTCACCTCACCAAGTGGACCTAAATCGGAGATGAACACATGAAGCAAACAGAGACTGTCTCAGGCAGTGGTAAGTGGCATGAGACACAGCAAGGTCAGGAGTGGTGGCACAGCTGGACAGGGTAGAGGGACATTTGAGCAAAGACTTGGATGACAAGGGGTCGGCCGCTCAGGCAGACGAGACGACAAGTGTAAAAGGCCCTAAAGCAAGAAAGCTCGGTGTGTCCCTGTGGAAAATGGATGAATCTCCACAGGATCTGAATCTGTCTTGGAGTGTCATCTACTTCTGATTCCAGTTCTCGGCAAACATGACTGATCTCTGTCATCGGTTCCTTGAGGAGTGAGGATCATCTATATTTATTTGTCACCTGCATGAGTCACCCCATCAGCAGGAGATAATCAGCTGTAAGGACCTTCTGCCTATCCTGCCTACTAAATGATAAAGCCCCAAAGGACTCTGTTCAGAATAAACACCATCTAGTGAAACATCACTGAGTGCCTCCAGCCCACACTACGCTCGCCCTTCCTTGGACCTGCAGAGCACGCCCTAGCCTCCTGCTATCCGGAAGCACAGTCCAGTCTCTGCTTAAGTGTCCTTCATGGTGTAGTCCCACTTCCCCCACGGCCTCTACCTGCCCTGAAGGGTCCAAACTGCCCTTCGCAGCAGTGCGCTTACTCACTGGCCAGAGACCTGTGTGCCGTAGGCCAGAGCGACCAAGGGCCAGTCAAGTACATGTTCTTGTGATGCTTCCCATCGGGGGTCCGAGGCCGGTTCTCACAAGCCTTAATCCTTAAGCCGTGTTTCCCCCTTCACAGAGCTATGTGAACACCCACAGTTACAATCCACAAAGGATGCAAAACAGTGGCTGGAAATGCTCCACGTACTCTATTAAGTCAGGAAGGGCTTTGTAGACGTCTTCATCATTAACGCTTTCTTCTGTCGGGAAGGGCCTACGAGAGAGGAAGAGAAAGACAAGCGTGAACAAGCAACATCTAGGCGGGGCATTTACCTCTCATGAGATGTGTCAGCCTGTCTGCCGCAAGCGTGGTCAGGTCACCATGTCTGGGGCTTCTCCCAAAGCGTGGCTGGGTGTGGGGGCCCGCATGGAGGCTGTGGCACCTGCTACCCCAAGTCATCAACAGCAATCTGCTGGTCACCACCCTCCTCTGAGCAGCTGTGGATGGGCTGGTGTCCTTAGCTGGTCCCCCACCAGCCACATCCCTCCCTGCAGGCTCACCTCATGGTTCCCCCCGCAGCACCCCATTCACAGAACCGGCCTTGCCTTCAAACACGGTTCTGATCTGACTGACCATTAACTGGGTAACAACCTAATAACGAAAACTATTAGAAGACAAAATACCATGTCCTATATATATGATTACTGACTCTGATATACTTTTGTACTTAGACTTCAAGGTGTTTAAGTTGTTGTGTTTTTGTTTTTTGTTTTTTCAATTATTGGATGAATGAGTCAATCGGACCTCAGGGAGAAGAGGGTGTTTTCTCTGCCCCCTGTTCAAAGAAAGTCACTGTAACTGATTCCCTGTTCCTGGCAATGGGCTTCTTGTTTGCTCATGCTTCTATGACATTTTTCATAACACCCACATGATGCTCTGAACTTATGTCCTACAAAACCACAGTAATTATATCACAGGGCCAACGTTTTACTTTCTTTCACATGCTTCCAGCATACGTATTTTCATAAAAGCAAGATCCATCAAAATAACAAATAAGCACCAAATAATTATGAAGTAATTATCTTTAATATGAAAAGCAGATTTTTTACCTTAGTTTATGAATTAACTTAATACTTAAGACATTTGAGGAACCTACATTTTTTTCCAAATAAATTAAAATGTGAGAAATGCCCAAGTTTCAAAATCTTTTAAAAAATAAATTTAGGCTCTTATCCCATTACAAATCCACTGTAGGAAAATTTGAAAATATAGATTAAGATTAAAAAGGAAAAAATTCTTCTGATATATATCCTTTTAGAATCAAACATACATAAATACACAGCATTAGAATCATGCTATATCAAAATCTGCTGTTTATATATGACAACATAATATATATATACTGGCATGGAAAGAAAAGTATGTATTGAAGAGCAAATCACAAGGTGTTGAACCTTTATCCAGCCTGCAGACTACTTTTGTATAAACTTCTATATAAACCATAGCCCATTTCTGCAAAAGGGTCTGCAGGGTGTCCTCCCTGAGGTCACTGTGTTTGTATCCAGGAACTGGGCTACCCAACACTGCTTATCAGTCCTGTACGATATGCTTGAATCCTCTCCTTTAGAACCTGAAATGTGAGCTGTACAGATGAAAATGGAAGCAACAGAGAAAGAGGCTCAGCGCAGAGCCCCTACTGGCTGGAGACAGAAGTACAGCGCTCTGGGGAAATGAGGTAAAACACGAAATCCATTCCATTCCCATGCAGGCTGCTATGTGGCTACAGACATATTTTTCTTTATCTCTAATGTTGTTAATAATATAAATTTCTATAAGATCTAACTTAAGTATGTAGTATTTTAAACAGAAAAGGCCCAACATGACACACACATCTGCATTTCCAAACTTCTTTCTGACTGCATAATACTTCATTCCTTGGAGATGTCATAATTCATTCAACCAACTCACTTCCAAGATTTTCATTTAGTACCAAACCTTCAATACAAATCCTTGTACACATATCAGTTTCTATTTGTCTGATTATTTCTTAAACTCCTAAAAGTTGTGAGTTATTGTTATGGCCTACAGGACATAAATGTATTACAATATCTTTTAAAATATTTTCTTACTTAAGCCATATGTGTTTGTCTTGATGAATCACATGTATAGAAATGTTGGAGAAAGTTTATTAAAAAAATAACTGTATCAATGATAATCACTAATAAAATGAGAACCATGTTTAGCCAATGTGTGTTATTCAACTCTATAAAAGAGTCTGTATTTGTCCAGTAAGTTTCAAACGTGTGTTGGGCACTGGTGTACCAGGCAGTCTGCGTGAACGAGATGCAGCCCTTGTATGCTACAAGCTGTGCAAACAGTAGCTGTCTGATAAGCAGTCATTACATCGAGCAGGGGCCACAGAGAACAAGCTTACCTGACTCCGGTGGCCAACGCTATAGGTGTTCGAGAAAGTCGAGATAATGTTTCTATCACCTGAGGAAAGAAGGGAAGTGTTCAGTGAACATGTATTTCAGGAAAAAAAAACATTTTCCCCAAAAACAGTAGTTATTTAAACAATCTAATATTAACAATGGCAGCAGAAATGTAAATTTGCACATGCCAAAGAGGTGCAGAATGGGAAGAGCTGTGACTGGACAGCATAAACACTTGGGTCATAATTCTGTCCCTTTCTTTAACTTTATCACTCTAAGATGACTAACCCATCTGGTTTGCATTTTCCTTATCATGCGAACGAGGAGCTAGACTGGGTAATCCTAAATCCTGCATCTCTATTTGCAGACTCTCAGAGCTCCTAGAAAGCTGCACTGTCCAAAACAGGAGCCTCTGGCCACACAAGGCCATTAAAATTCACATTAATTAACATTTTTAAAACAAAATCTTACATTCCTCACTTGTACGGACCCCACTTCAAATGCTCAAGAGCCATACAGACATCAAACATTCCCATCATCACAGACAGCTCTGCCAGACAGCCCTGCTGTGCAGCAAAGTGGGGTAGCGTGTGGGCTCTTGGGCCAGACCACATAGGTTCAAATCCTGGCTCGACCACTTATTTGCCACATAACCTGGGACAAACTACTTAACTTCTTATCCGGGCTTCAGTGTTTATACCTGGATATGGCATACAATAATAGATTATTAATAATCATTAGATTATTGTAAGGATTAAGGAGAGAACACATGTAAAATATTTAAATCATAGCTATTCTTGAAAATTACCTAATTCTAATTCTGAGTGTTTTCAGGAAAAGGTGTTTCTTAAATTACCTTTGCTTATCTATCTGTTTCAAGATTCCTTAAAATAATGTACCAGCCATGGTTGCAGCATTGGCAATTTTACCCTCCTCCCACTTTTATATCTTAGAGCATCTCTTTGAAAGACTTAGTGAAGGAACCAAGGAGCTGACATGTATTTTTGTCATGAAGCCTGTTTCTGTGATTTGTCCAAACTCTCAAAACTCACATCTTAAAGAGGCTCTACTATAAGACCTTATTCAGAAGAATGGGGGGGGGGGGGTGCAGGGCTCTATCTCAGAGTGGAGATAATCTTCTGATTCCTCAGTTCAAAGACAGAAACAGAAGTAAGGTGCCCAGTACTTTGCAGATGTCTCGAAAGGGCACGACCTGCACATACACTTGTCTCTCACCTACTCCGTGGGCTGTGGGTGGTGTGGTTAAAACTCCCAGCTCTGTAAGAATGTTGGGGGCACCCAGGATCATCAGTGCTCAGCTAAGCTCACCTTTACTGGGTGCTATAAATGTGGATCCTAACAATGAACTCCCTGCTTCATAGAGTTACTGAGGATTTCTTGGGAAGGGGAGGGGATGAATATTTTTAGTTTGTTAAATTTGTTAAATAAAAATGTTTTCTAGCATGATACTTTTAACATTACAAAAATAAACCAAAATGAAGAAAAGGTCACTGTAAAATGATAAGAAAACTATAATTTCCATCAAATGCTTAACTCAGTAAATGTTAACTTTTGTTATCATATAAAATAAATTAGTACTACATAAAATATAATTTAATTGAAAGCCTTTACACAGTTTCTTCCTGAATAATTTTGTTCAATGCTGGATATAAAAACCAGTCAGACACCTCAAACAAGTGTTGGCGAGGGTGTGGAGAAAAGGGGACTCTAGTACACCGCTGGTGGGAATGCAGACTGGTGCAGCCACTATGGAAAATAATATGGTGCTACCTCTAAAAATTGAACTTCCATTTGACCCAGTGATCCCACTTCTAGGAATATACCCTAAGAAGCCTGAAACACCAATCAGAAAGAATATATGTACCCCTATGTTTGTAGTAGCACTATTTACAATAGCTAAGATCTGGAAACAGCCCAAGTGTCCATCAGTAGACGAATGGATAAAAAAGCAGTGGTACATATACACAATGGAGTACTACGCAGCTATAAGAAAGAAAGATCTCTTATCCTTTGAGACTACATGGAGGGACCTGGAAAGTATCATCCTAAGTGAAACAAGCCAAACAGAGAAAGACAAGTATCATATGATCTCACTTATTTGTGGAATATAATAAACATAACAGTCTGGGGAATGGGGTAGTCCCAGAGACGTGGAAGTGGGGTACAGATTGACAATCCCCAGAAGAGGGGGTGGTGGGGAAGAGATAAACCACAGGACTTATATACATGTGTGCATGAACAATGGACATGGACAACAAAGCTGGGGACAGGTTGGGGAGGGGGGGAGAGGGGGGAATCAGGGGGGGGAGAAACATCTGTAACAAAAATTAATTACTAAAAAAAATAAATAAATAAAATAAAATTGAAGCTCCAAAAAATAAAGTCACAAAAAATCACCTTGATAAAACTTGATATCAATTAATTTCCCATAATAAAGATAAAGCACGTTCAGGGAGTACATAAATGCAGAAGATCCCAAAAGAACAAATAATAAATCTATCAAAATCAACGGATTCAAGATAAAAAATTATCATTTGCTAAAATCCCAAAATTATGCACTATTGAGTGAAAAGCCTGGAATCGGAAGGTTCTGGAATAATCCATAGAATAACATTCAGACTCCTGAATTCACTATATTGTTGGTTTTAGCACGAGCCTCATGCTGAGGTGGCACTATTTAAAAGCTGGGGCGAAATCTCTTTCTGATCCTGTCTGACAATGTCACCCCTCAACCCCAAGGAAAACAGCATTGCTATGTATTTTACTGTTGCTATTATTTACTTGAAAAGAAATGTATTTTATTCCTTGGGGAGATTTTCTACAATAATGATTATACACCTACAAGATAAGAATGTATTTTCTGGCCCGGCCGGTGTGGTTCAGTAGTTGAGCGTCGAGCCATGCACCAAGAGGTGGTCTGGTTCGATTCCCAGTCAGGGCACGTGCCCAGGTTGTGGGCCCCATCCCCCGGGGAGGGGGGTGAAGGAGGTGGCCAATTGATGCTCTCTCTCATTGTTTCTATCTCTCTCTCCTTCCCCTTGCCTCTCTCTCTAAAGGCAATAAAGAAAAAAAATTGTTTTAAAGAATACATTTCCTATTCCTTTTGCTATGGATAACCAGAACTATTCACCACCCCCGTCTGCCTGCTGCGACTCGAGTTTTATTTTTTCCTGTAATTGTCCACCAGAGGGAGCCAGATAATAGTACTATATTACTTTTCTGCTTTGAATGTTTATAAAGTACAAACATTTCTGAAAAATCAACAAGCTGAAACCAAGTCCTGTTATCTCTTTAAAAGGAGTATTTACTGCTTTTTAGTAATATAAAAACAACAAAGATAAAAAGTCAGAGGAGATGGGGATGTAAAGAAAGTATGTAGCATGTCTTAGAGTGAATCTCTCTGAGGACTATCTCCTGGTTTTGTGTCTATCTGATTACACATGGCATCCACCCATTAACTTTAAGTTTAGCCAAAGCAAACAGAGACTGTTTAGTTGAAGTTGTGTTTTTAGAACAGTGTGTGTTTTGTAAAGATGGAGTGACCCCAATTTGGGAGGGACAAGCACACAAACTAGTGCCACACCCACAAGTCTCCTGTGTGGAGACGGATCTGCCACTAGAAACACCCACTCAAGGATACAAATGGAAGAAAATATCTCCAAAGACAGTAAGAAGACTATTTCCCCTGAAATATAATGTCTAAATTGTTGCCTCAAAATAAAATGAAACTGTGGACATTAACTCCGAGGAAAGAGGATAACGAGTCAGAATATTTGCAAGGTGATAGTCCAACAAGCAACTACTAGCCCTGCATCACAGGTCAGCTTTCTTTGCTTACATCTTTGCCTTGTTTGATAAGACGGTGGCATCTGTACAGAAACGGCAAGGACTCTGGCTAACATAACTCAGAGTCACTGTGGGAGGACGGGGGGGGGGGGGGGGGGGGGCAGGGCGGCTGTGTGCTTCAGAAAGGTGGGTTAGACACCAGAATCTATGAAGAAACTTTAAGGAAGACAGCAGGGCAAAAACTGCATTTTTAGAAGATGACTCAGCAAAGTGAAGAACAGACTCAGGTAGGAGGACCTGGGGTACAGACGCGGCACCAGGAGACTCACTAGGGGGTGTTCGCAATCATCCAGGTGAGACACCGGAAGTCTGAGCTGAGACCGCCGCAGTAGAGAGAGGGGAAAGTGCGGGTATGTAGGAATAGTGGCCGATGCCCTGCGGAGGGAAGAAGAGCCCAGGACAACCTGGGTGAGCCGTTAGAGCAGGGAGGTGGCTCCCTGCCGCCCCTGGAATGCCCCTGGGATGCTCCCAAGCAGGAAGCGTGCAGACTCTGTGCCCCTCCGCAGGCTGTCCTGGTACATCCTGGGCTTGCCAGGCCGTCCCTCATCCAGGGCCTTCTCTGACTCTCACCTCCAACCTGGGTCACTTGTGTCCCCATAGGACTCTGGACAGAACTCTGCCCTAGCACCTCTTATTTGCTGTTTAAAATATTTCAAGTGGACTCATGTTTATTTGTCACAATGAAATAACACAGTAATACATACGGTTATTACACACCTACACGCACCTCTCCCACCTTCTGCCTAAAGGGGGCCGGAGCTAAGAATCGTGTGTGACCCTTGAGGAATTTTTTTTCTTTTTCTTTACAATTATTATTTTAGGTAATGTGTTCCTATTCTACAGATTCTACAACATGCTTTTGTCATTTAACAATGTGTCACAGCCCTGCCCAGGTACCTCATTTGGTTAGAATATCATCCTGATGTGCCAAGGTTGTGGGTTCAATCTCTGGTCAGGGCACATACAACAAGCAACCAATGCATGTATAAATAAGTGGCACAGCAAATCGATGTTTCTCTCTCTCTCTCTCTCTCAAAGCAGTAAATTTACTAACAACAAAAACAATGTATCACAGACAGTTGGGTGAACACATACAGATCTGCTTTGTGGATTTTAATGTTGTATAACATTTAATATATATAACACAATGATTCAACCATTCTCCTACCAATGAGTTTTTTCAGTATTCTGATA